CTGCTCCTATGATGCTGCTTGGCCTGCTGTGTTCATCCAGCCCTGCACCTTGTTGTCTCGGATTCTCCAGCATCTGCAGTTCCTACTATCTCTGATTCGTTGTAACTAGGTTGTAGCTAGTCTGGTCCAAAGGCCTGATGTTAATCCCCTGCTGTTCATTGACTAAATCCTTCGAAATTGCAGTTGAAATATAATTGTTCCAGTTCAGCTACAGGAAGCTCGTCTCAGGAATTCAGTTTTCAGTTGCAATCACTTAGGTCAGGTCAGGCTTGATATAGATCCCATTGAACTCAAGTTAGACTTCAGTTTCAAGACAGTGAGCATTCTTGATTAATACTACTGCTGCTTAATGACTGGCTGAAATTGATGAAACGTGGAAAACATTGGATTATTAATCAAGATACAGGTAAAATCACATTATGTCAAAATTAACACGTATACCAGGCCTTTTTACAAAATATTTTGGTGTTGCTTTCTCAGTAATGTTATATTTGCACAATACCAGTATACTTCCAATATTTCTGAAATGCTGAAAAAGCACCAGAGTTCTCACTGAATCAATTGACAATGCCTGATTCCCAACATCATACAAGTAACAATCTGAAAAGCAGCCCATTTAAGTTTTAACTTAATATAGTTTATTACAATTAACTTCTTGTTCATTGCTTAAGAGGAAATAAACCACTACTTGAACGGGGTACTATATTTGCACATTTTATGTTAAGAGCTGCTACTGCTAACAATCCCCATGTTTAATCTGAAGCTTCTTTTTTCTTAAAAAGGAAGTGGGTTTGAATCTGTTCCAAGTTGCTTCTGGAAAATACTGGCAAATACAACAACAAAAGAAAGCAAAATAAGTGCAATTTTGCAACAAACGGATTTCCTCTCTAGTTGTGATAATGATGAAGCAGTCTTTGTTGACTCTAACTGTTTCTGCTGGGCAACAAAGCAGGATATGATTGATCTCCATTTTTACCATTCAATATTCCGATAGCAAGTAATCAATAAATCATGATTTGATAGCTTAAAGTGATGATCTTTCTTCCTTATCTCTATATATTTGGGACAAGAACACCAACAAATAATGACTCGGAATCCAGTTATTCAGTAAGTGCACTGCTTACTGTAGTGCACAAACCAGGAAGTTCCCAGTTGCATTTGTGGTCTAATCACATTCAAGGCAGCATTGCTGCACTGTGATTAATATTGGCGTTCCCAGGGCTGAAAAATCAGCTAGGATTCCTGCTCCCAAAACTGTTTATAGAATAGGTTTGCTGAATAGTACACGTATGTAATCATAAAGAGCCAGGAAGGCACTAGCTCAAAAAGCAGCAACACAGCTGCCAAAAACATGAAGGAAGAATAGAAAATGCTGGAAACAACATGTGGCCAGGCCTAATGGAGGGATATGTTTCAGGTGCAAACCCTTCATCCAACTTTTGTTGAATTTTCATAACCCCTCTGATCTTTTCCTTTGTGACACAAAACAATTTTATCCTCCTTGGCTCTACATGAATTATTTCCATTTGACATGATGATCAGCTCTTGTTCCAGGGGATTCACTTCTTTCTTCAGTTTCTTTAGATCCTTCTTTTTAAGCTCCTATGGTCTTGATCTTGTGCCCAAGTTGGTTGCCCTACTTTTCCCATTCCTTTCACTTATTCTAATCTTCCTGCCTCGTTCCAATCCTGACGTCATCGTCAGACTCTTTGATAAAACAAACACTACGTCTTTTTAAAAGAAACCAACTACTAAAATGAGGTTTAACACTAACTATCTGTAATATTCTATTAATGAATAGTAAAGCACTAACTTGAACAGCAAGCCAACGAGTCACCATCTGTTATCATCCTCTTCAAATTGTTGAAATTGTTCTCATTTTGGAAAATTTCCTGTTTAGATTTTAGCTTAGTTGTCATAATCCATAATTGAAACACTTGACAGAAATCATTTCAAAGATTAATATTTGATGAAGGGCTGGTTAGGTAATGTATTAGAGAGCTGCCACGCCTGTAAAACCATATCTCAGCACTAAATACAACCCATACTGCCAATAACATCCAAAGGTTAAATGGCCATAGCATTTGAGATGATACATACTACATGGCACAAAGAAAACAACAATGTAACCAATAAAACTGAAATGTATTTCAAAGAATGTAAATACATTTGCAAGTGAAGTTGGAACTATAAAGTTTCACCAGAGTAAACACTAGTTAGATTTTCTATTATATTTTTCTTTAATTCAAACTTAAGATGTGTGTAATGGTAAAATCATATATATTAGCCATCTCCAATTATCTTAAGATGGTGATCAGTTTTCTCTTTGAACTCTTTTTAATGTATTGATAGGATATGGGTGCCACTGGTTAAGTCAACATTTATTGCCCATCATTAATTACCCTTGAAAAGGTGGTGTTGAGCTGCTTTCTTGAACTGCTGAAGTAATTGCGGTGTCGAACATTGCAGTGCTGTTAGGAAATTGACCCAATAATAATGAAGGAATGGCGGTAATATAAGTCAAAATAAGGATGATTTGTAGCTTCAATAGGAAGTTGAGGTGACGGTTTCCCTATTTATCTGTTGCCCTTGTCCTTCTAGGTGGCAGAGATCACAAGTTTGGAAGGTGGTATTGAAGGAGCCTTGGTAAGTTAGCGTAGTGCATCTAGTAGATTGTACACTCTACTACTACTGTGTGTTCGTACTGGACAGGTGCTAATCAAGTGGGCTGCACTGTCCTGTGCTATTGACTGCATTTATCAAGGCAAGTGGACAGCATTCCATCAAATCTTGACTCGTAGCTGCTGGAAAACATTAGGAATTCAGAGGGTGAGTTACTTGCTTCAGGATTCCTAGCCTATGATCTGCCCTTTAAGCCACAGTATTTATATGGCTAGTTCAGTTCAGTTTCTGATTTATTTAGGATTTTAATAATGGGGAATTCAGCAATGATAAAGCCATTAAAGTTCAAAGGGTAATGATCAGATTCTCTCTTGTTGAAGTTAGGCATTGCCTGTTATTTGTGTTACATGCTAATTCTCAGCCAAAGTCTGGATGTTTTCCAGGTCTTGTTATATATAGAAGCCACTGCTTCATTATCTGAGAAGTCGTGAATGGTGATAATTGTCTAATCATCAGGGAAAATCCCACTTCTACCCTTATGATAGAGGGACAGTCATTGATGATGCAACTGAAGATAGTTGGGTTCATAAGGAACTTCAGGAATGCTTACAGTGACGTCTTTGAAATGGGATGATTAACCTCCAGCAACCACAACCATCTTCCTTTGTGCTAGGTATGACCACAACCTGCGGAGAGATTTCCCCCAATTCCCATTGACTCCAGTTTTGTTAAGGCTCTTTGGTATCATACACTGTAAAATGCATGATGTCAAGGTCAATTCTAATTCCCCTTACGGAGTTCAGTTCCTTGTTCATTTTTGGACCAAGGCTCTAATGAGGTCAGGAGCTGGATGATCCTAGTAGAACCAAAGCCAAGCATCAGTGAACAGTTTATTCCTTGGCAAGTGTTGGATGAGCCTCCAATTATGTAAAGACTGAGCCCCACTATCGCTGGTTGTGCAAATTAAACATTCAATGACCATTAACATCCCCTAATTGTTCCTAACCAGACTTTACTAATAACAGATTTTGGACACAAAGTTCATAATTTAAATAAAATTAACAGTCTATTATAAATAACATTAGCAGAATATAGATAAACAACGTAATTCAATTAATATTTACAAATTAAAGCCCAATTTTCTTTGATTGTCATCCTTACTTTCACACAGACAGAAAGGCAGACAGAATCAGTTACAGGATAAATTAGAAAAGAAAAGAATTGTAATTTGCCAGTTCAATAAACAGTATCAAATGATAGATACAAGGTCTTCATTAAATTCTTGTACAATGGGATGTTCACAGGCAAGTAGAACTGTATATCTTGCTTGAATTCTAAAGCCACTGGTTAATGCAAACAGTTTGTATTATTTCTCACAGACTGGGATTCTTTCTTCAGAACATTTAACAACTTGATAACTAAACCGAGGGAGAGCAAAACAAAAGACGCTTTCAACATCATTCTGTCTCCTGCTGAGCTCCGTCAAAACTGGCTCTCTTTCTCTCAGTTCTGAAGAAGGGTCACCGACCCAAAACGTTAACTCTGATTTTTTCTTCACAGATGCTGCCAGACCTGCTGAGCTTCCATTCTCTGTGGTTGGCTCATTGGCACTCGGGCTCCCTTGATTGACAATTCAACATCCAACTAGCTGCCAGCCCTGAGCATAGCAACCACTCAGTGCCGATTCGATGACAGTGTCCTTAGTTAAGTAATTAAATTCTATTGCTTTCTAGGCCATATTCCAACAGAAAATAACTTCTATTGATCTTTTTTAAAACAAGGTGCTGTTCAAAGTTAAATTCTTAATTGCAAATCACATAGTTCCAAACAAAAAAACAAAAATAAAACAACAATAGTGATGGTCTCTACAATAGCATTGTTGATGGCCCTTTCTTTGTTGATGATTGAGAATAGATTGATCCGATAGTAATGGGGCAAGTTGAAATTGTCTCACTTTAAAAAAAATGTTTTTTTCCTAATCAACCTAGCTTAGAAAAAATCTAATCTTATGACACATCTCCATAGCAAGTGGACTTGAACATGAAGCTCCTGGGCAGGAAGTAGGGAAACTACCACTACACCAAAACACCCCCTTGGCCTCTTTACATTGACTAGCTGTTTATAGGCAATTTTGTACATGACTGAGTGAATGTGTTAGATCAGCTGGTTTAGGAGTGCAGCCAGATCTGCAGCACAAATTTTCTGCATTGTTGTCAGAATGTAGTCAGGCCCCATAGCCATTGCAAGTATCCAGTGCCTTCAGCTGTTCTTGATATCATGTGGACCGATCTCCTGCACCCTTATTTAAACTGCTACAATCCTGGTACTACCCATGCTCCAACAATGATATTAAAAATTTCCAGAGCTTGTCCTGTGAAGACGAAGAACTGGACTTAATTATCCCAGTGAAAATAGTGTTTCAATCATCTTGACATTACCGTCCTTCTCCATGGCAGAGATTTATCGAGTTTCAAGGTTTTGTGCAAGTAAGCTTTATTGGTTGCTGCAATACATCTTTTGGATAGAAGATACTGCAATTATAGTACACCCTCGACTTGGGGGTTGGTAGAGGGAAGAGGGGGCGGGAATGGTTACAATTTCTAAAAATTGCTTTGTCCTTCATTATTTTGAACTTCCCAACCACTTTGTTGCAGCCATCCCACCCAGAAATGTAGCTAATAGATTGCTTTGCACCTCAACAGTTGTGACTGGAGTGAAGGACTGCAGATTAGTCGATGAATAGGCCCACTCCTGACTTCTTGCTGAAGATGATGGCTCTTGATGAAACAGCTGAAGATATTTGGGTTTGCAACCAAATCCTGAGGTACAATAAATAGCCTCTGACAATTATGTCCATCTTTTCCTTGTATCAGTAAAAGACTCTAGCTACTAGAGGGTTTTCCTTATCACACCCATTGACGTCACTCTTTCTAAGGCTCCTCAGTGGTATTTTTGTTTGAATGCTCCCTGGATGTCAACAGCAGATAACATAGAAATTAATCAACTGATTAACATAGCAAGTGTAATCCCATTCTAATCAGGTTCAATATTTTCCAGTAGCAGTCTCTGAATAGTGAAAGGAATAATATATTATAACTAAAATAAACAAGGGAGCAGAATAAGTTTTATATGAATCTGTAGAAATGTTCACTCAGAAGGAATCCCAGTGCAATTAATATTTAAATATTCTCTCATGAGGTAGCAACATATCTCAAACTTTGAGGGGTGTTTCAGCAGGTAAGGAGAGGCAAATTCAAGTGCACGCAAGGAGGTATGTTGCCAAAAATGAGGTTAAGTTAGGATACTGATAAATGTTGCTACCTTGTACTAGAGTAATAAGTTCATGCTAGACTCTTGCAGATTGTCTGTCTGAAATCAGCTGACTCAGCCTACAATGGACAGTAAACCCAGTTTTTTTTTTGTGTATGTCTACATTATTCACTGTGCATTGCACTTATCAACTGGAAGCTAAAAAAAAAATTAGCAGAAAGCCACAAAACCACAGCTTGATATTCACACTGCTGTGCAAATTCTCCTGACAGCTAACATGATAACTTAAACTGATTCTTCAGAGCCAGTTGCTCCAAGAAATTGAGCCTGTCTCCAAACATTCCATGACAAAGCAACAGCAACTCTTTAAACAACAGTATCTTTCTTCTAAAGCATTACTTATCCCCTTTTGAAACTCAGATAACCACTCTGATATCACAATGTGGTTTGCAAGAAAGCTGCACTGCTAAAAAATCTAGCCTAATGCGTTCAGCTCAGGATACCTGCCTCAAACTGGCTTGAACACTTTGATCAAGTGATATTTAATGATCTAAAAGATACTAAACTGCAGTTCTGTATTATAATCCTGATTAACAAAAACACACATAGTCATGCCATTATGCAGAACGTTTTACACATTATATCATTTTACACCTTTTAAGAATCAGAATGCATCGACCTTAAAACAGTGAATATGAAAACAAATCAAGGAAACTGCTTATCTATTAGATGAATCTGCGGGCTATGCTTGTTTAGAAAGGTAGAAAAGGCTGAAACCCTTGCTTTTCAGTTATTCTCAGAATTGTCAAATTTATTGGGGTTTTTAAACCAGGTAGCAGGAGGCAGCATGTGCATGGGAGTTAGGCCCCTCACTTGAGTGACATATGTTGGGATCCAGCTCTCATCCCATTCTCACTTCCAGTTTCACCTGAATAGGTTTGCAGACAAGTAGGTAACACCATCTTGGAACTGTTCAGTAACTCTCTAAGATATTCAAATTGGTCATTAATTGCTGCTTTAATCAACTATTCCAGCTTTAACTGCCTGCACATTTATGTCCCAAACTGTCAGCAACTTACTAAAGTCACTAGGTGGGTACACGCAAGGAATAGTATTTCAGTGAAACCAACAGGTTTTGATCAATGAAATTGAAGAGCTGCAACCATGGCAAGAGACTACTGCTCACAGCACACCTTCTCAGAAAGTACATTCACAACTTGAAAGATGATTGCCAACTTCTTTGAAGTCAATTTGCCTGTCTTGCACTTCATTCATCTTGATCTGAACTTCCCTGTTGTCAAACTTCACTAGAGCACGGGAGCAGCTTGAACAGTTCTATCTTCTATCTCTGATAAGGATCAAAAGCAGCAACACCAACCGCACCAGCAGTAGCAGGAAAAATGCCACCAGCAATACCAGTTGGCTTCTCCATGCTGCTCCACAGGGCAGAGGGGAGAGACACACACACACCAGGATTGAAAGAGACAAGACTAGGTCTACAGAGAGAGGATGTACTATAGCCCTTCATTTGGGCTATACTACATTAGGAAGCTTAAAACATCAAGTTGGGTCACTGGAAACTCTCTTCTGCAACCTACGTAAGGCCCAAGATCATAAAGTATAGATACCCATAATTAAACATAATGGATGAGGTCTAATCAATGCTTTGTAAAGATTCAGCAAAACATTATCATTTATGTACTCTATTTCTATATTTATAGAGGCAAAAATTCCACGTGAGTTTCTAAACAGTCTTGGATCATAGAATCCCTACAGTGTGGAAGGAGGTCATTCAACCCATCAGGTCCACACTGACCCTCTGAACAGCATCCCACCCAGACCCAGTCCCATCACTGTATCCTGTAACCCCACATCTACCACAGCCAATCCACCTAACCTACTCATCTTTGGACTGGGTGATGAAACTGGACTACCCAGAGGAAACCCATACAGATGCAGGGAGAATGTGCAGACTCCACACAGACAGTAGTCCAAGGCAGGAATTGAACCTGGGCCCCTGGAACTGTGAAGCAGCAGCGCTAACTACTGAGCCATTATGGTACCCTCTATTCCTGAATCTCACTTTATAATTAGACCCTTTAAACTGCATTACCCTTCCTGAAAATGTATCATTTCACATTTGCATTAAATTTCATCTGATAATTGTCTTCCCATTCACAAACAGTTTATGTTCTCCCAAAGTTTATTGCTATCCTCTTGTTCACTACAGTTCTAGGTTTCTTGTCCTCCAAAAACTTCAAAGTTCAAGTTAATAATTCTACATATGTCAAAAAGAAAAATTATCCTATTAACCCATGGAAACATCACATATAATTCCTCTGGTCTAAAAATCAAATGCTCACCATTACTTGGTTTTCTATCCTCTAAGCAATGTCATTTGCTGCCATTATCCCTTTATTCCCAAGGACTCTAATTTTGTGAACAAGTATGTTTGTGCAATAAAAACTCCTCCACAATTTAAGAAAGATGACAATAAGAACATAAGAAACAGGAGCAGGAGTAGGCCATTCGGCCCATTGAGCCTGCTCCTCCATTCAATAAAGATCATGGCTGAACTTTTCGTGGACTCAGCTCAACTTGCTCGCCTGCTCGCCCAAACCCAAATTACTTAGCTATCTATCTATCTTTGCCTTAAAAACATTCAACGAGGTAGGCTCAACTGCTTCAGTGGGCAAGGAATTCCACAGATTCACAACGCTTTGAGTGAAGAAGTTCCTCCTCAACTCAGTCTTAAATTTTCTCCCCATTATTTTGAAGGCTATGTCCTCTAATTCTAGTTTTACCCGCCAGTGGAAACAACTCCCTGCTTCTATCTTATCTATTCCCTCCATAATTTTGTTTCCATAAGATCCTGCCTCTCAATCTTCTAAATTCCAATGAGTATCGTCCCAGTCTACTCAATCTCTCCTTATAACTCTCTTAATTCCAGAATAAACCGAGCAAACCGTCTCTGCATGCCTACGAAAGGAAAACAGAAAACTATACACCAGTTAGCCTGACATCTGTCGTCGAGAAATTATTAGAGCTCTTAATTTAAATTAGGGTAACAACACTTTGAAACATTCCAATTGAGCAGAGAGCCAGCATGGATTTATGGTAGACCATGCCTGACAAATTTGATTTTTTTTAAAAAACTGGCTAAAGTATGAGACAAGGATGTTAATGGATGTTATTCATGCCAACTGTCATTTGCATAAAAGATTTAGTTTAAGGTGAAGCTCATGAAACTCAATGCAAATTATTGCCCTGGTAAAGAAATTGGTTGGGCGGCAGGAAACAAAGATCAAAGAACAATACAGCACAGGAACAGGCCCTTTGGCCCTCCAAGTCTGCGCCAACACATTTTGCCCTTCCGTACTAAAACTGTCTTCTATTCCCTTCCTATTCATGTATTTGCCAGGTGTTTCTTGAAAGCAGCTATTGAGTCTGCTTCCACCACCTCCTCTGGCAGCATGTTCCAGGCACTCAACATATCTTTTAAACTCCCCCCACCACCCCACACCCCTGGACCTTGAATCTGTGTCCCCTCGTAATTGACTCCTCCACTGTGGGGAAACACCTCAGATTTTCCACTCTATCTATGCCATTCACAATCTTTTAAACTTCTATCATGTCACCCCCTCAACTTCCCACTTTCCTGTGAAAACAAACCCACTCGATCCAACCTTTCTTCGTAGCTAAAATCCCCCATACCAGGCAACAGGCTGGTAAACCTTTTGTGCACCCTCTCCAAAGCATCCACATCCTCTGGCAGTGTGGTGACCAGAACTGTACACAATATTCCAAGTGTGGCCTAACTAATGTACTACAAAGCTGCAGCATATCTTGTCTATACTTTTACTCAATGCCCCTTCCAATGATGGCAAGCATGCCATAACCCTTTTTACTACCTTATCTACCTGCGCTGCCACCTTCAGTGATCTGTGGACCAGCACACCCAGATCCCTCTGCATATCAATAATCCTAAGGGTTTATAATTTCTACCCGTACCTGACCTTTGTGACCTTCCAAAATGCATCACCTCACATTTGTCCAGATTAAACTCCATCTGCTATTTTTCTGTCATTGCCTCCAACTGGTCAATATCCTGCTGTATCCTCTGACAATCCTCCTCACTATCTGCTACTCCACCAATCTTTGTATTGTCTGCAAACTTACTAATTAGACCAGCTACATTTTCCTCTAAATCATTTTTGTAGCCTACAAACAGCACTGATCCCTGTGGAACACCACTAGACACAACCCTCTATTTCGAAAAGCATCCTTCCACTGCTACCGTCTGTCTCCTATGACTAAGCCAGTTCTGTATCCATCTTGCCAGCTCACCCTGATACCATGTGACCTCACCTTTTGTACCAGTCTGCAATGAGAGACCTTATCAAAGGTTTTACTAAAGTCCATATGGACAACACCAACCGCTTTTCCCTCAATCATCTTCGTCACCTCCTCAAACGTCTTGATTAAATTAGTGAGACATGACCTGTCCCGCACAAAGGCATGCTGTCTATTGCTAATAAGTCCATTTGCTTCTAAATGCATGTGGGTCAT